TCAATTTTATTAACTCCTATTGAAATTAATTCTTTATCTGTTAAATCTTTAATAGCATTTACAGTCATATCTTCTTCTAAAAATGAATTTTCTAATGACTTATATATTCCATTATTATTATGTATATTATCTAATTCTGATAAAAATTCACCGATAGTTGGACATTTAAAAGATGATTCAGAAAGGTTAGAAACTGATTTTTCAAATGGAGAACAAGAATCGATACCAGGAAATGAAAAGGGAAAAGGAAAAATCCATTGAGATGTTGTAGTATAACTAGAAATAGCAGAAACATAAATATTATTAGGAGTTATTAATATTGAAGCAACTTGCTTTGCATGAATTGCTTCAAAAGTAGGATAAGAAGGAGGTATATCAATTGTTATAATTCCTCATATCTAATTTATAAAATTGTAATAAAGGTTGATATAAAATATAAAAAATTAAAATTAAAATAATATAATAAATAATAAACAATCATACAATATCCTGAGTCCACAATGTTAATTGTGCTGGTGTCAATTGAAGGTGTTTGTTATTTTCATATAACAAGGGGTATTATGAATATTACATTAATATTTGTTTCCAATTTCTGTAAGTATTTGCACTTGTTCAAGTTCTGTTTCATCTAACACGAGATTTTTTAGATTTTTTTTTGGATGTTTTTTCTTGAACTTCTTCATCTAAACTACTTATTTAATTATTTTTATCTGCCTATTGATAATAAAATAAATAATTTTAAGATAATATAATCATAATATTTCAAGAAAAAAAATTTACAATATATTCTAAAATAAATTTACTTACTGATGTAACTCTTTTACAATTATGTTCTAAATTATTAGATTTCACATTAATATTTATATAAATTACCATATGTTGTAATTTAGATAAGCCCTTGTATTTTTCAATAAAAGCAACAAAATCATTCCTATCATCTAAAGCCATTACTTGTCCATGACTATTTACTTTATATGTAGTAATATAATCATCTTTGCTAATTATATTTCCCATATTTTTGTTTATATAATCTAATAAATCTTCATAAAATAATGTAGAAGTTTGTAAATCAAGCTTTATCCATTTTCCTGATAAAACTTCATTATTTTTTTTTGATAATAACTTGAGTATTAACTTGTATTAGATTTGTTAGATTTTGATTATCAAGTTTTTTTTTGTTTTTTTATTTTTAGAATATTCATATTTTGAATTACAAGCAGAACAAAAACTAATATCAAATTCTATAGTAAAATCTAAATCATATTCAAATTTTCACTTGCCTCTTTAGGAAAAGTAAGTTATGTTGAAAGTAATGTATTTGAAATACAACGGTTATATATTTGATAACCTTTTTAGATCAATCAAAATTTGCATCAGAACCTGAAGGTTTTTTAGTTATATCACAATTGCAAGTTTCTTGTAATAAATCTATAAACATTTTTGACAATTGAAACAAGTGCCAATTTGGTAAAATATAGGCAGATCGCAGATCAAAAAACCATATTATTACTTATATTTTTATTGGTTAAAAAAAAATCACATGCTTGTTTTCTGTTTTCACTATATTGATTTATTTTGATCACTTGATTGGCTGATCGGACATTTCGAAAATAGCTATAATTTTATATTGAATATACATAGTTGAAAATACATGATTTTATCATTATTATACATATGTTTAGATTTAGTATCTATTTATTTAATCTCTAAAATCTATAGTTTGAATATAAAATCAAGATTAATAATTAATGCATTTTAAATCTATTAATTAACAAATACTAATGTGTTAAAACCTTTTGAAATCTATATGCTATAAGTTCAGAAGAAGCTCCTTTTTCATATAAATACCCTAAAAATACATAATATTTCTTAATAATAAATCAAATGCGATTCCAACTAATTCGAAAACAAATTCCCAACAAGTTCCACTATGTTCTTTGACGTCGCAAAGAAGCATGAAAAAAAATCAGATCATGATTGATTTTGATCAGCATTGCAGACTTCGAAAAAAATTTTTGTCATAAAATCTAATGGAGACAAATCGGCCCATATGTCACAACGATACTGTATTGTCACCTGCTAAATACTGTAAAAGATGTTTTTTCATTTGTGTCAACAAAGTTAAAAAAAAATATATTTTTTTTTATTCTTTAAGAACTTCTCTCTTTGGAATCAGGCTCGTTGACTTATATATAAGGTAGGCTTACTTTTTCAATTCAAATTTTATTATAACCTGCTTTTTTATTTGCAGTTTTCACTTAATTTCATTGTGATAAACGGAGTACAAGAATAATATTTTAGAAGAAACGCATTATTTAAAAATAGAACAATTCTAATAATGAGGACTAAAAAAATAAGGAACGAAATTATTTTATTTATTTTATTATTTTAATTTCATTATTTATTTATCATTTGTTTTTTTCTATTTGATGATATAAAAAACAAATAATTTCTCATCAGTATTTTATGTGCCACATTACGAATAGTATTAGTATTAACAGTAGCAATATTAATAATATTATTAATAATAATAAATTAATAGATTAATAAATTAAATAATAAAAGTGAATTCGTTAACTTACTCACCAAGTATCAAAATTCTCCAAAGGAAATTCAGCACGCCTTTTTCTTGAGCATTCTACATTTTTTCTCGAGTAAATTCGAATTTTGTATTCCAAATGAGAGAAAAGTACTCTAAATCGGCTACACAAAGTCGAAATGCTCATAAACTTATTCTATCTAATGCTTGCACATCATTTAAAAATTTAACATATTGCGGGTTAAAGTTTTCACATACTCCGATATCTATAAAAATTATATTAAATAATATCCTAAAAACCTGATTTTACAAACAAACGATGATTATATGTAATATAATACCTTTAAAGAATTCAATAGATCGAAGGTTTAAAGAACTATCACGATTGAAAATCGTTTTAAATATGACATTCAATAAGGCAACCATCATTTCGGAATTCACTTTAATATAATACCAAATAGTAAAAATTCGTGAATATAACAAGCTCACTCATAAATCCTTGCACTCCGTAATCTAGGGTTTCTAATCGTTAACAAGTAATAAAATTTTTTACGCAAAACCAAATAACTAATAAATAATTAAAATCAATTTAAATAATAAATCTTATATTGATTTATTATCTATAATTAAAAAAGAAGCCATTTTTTGAAAGGGCATTATATTACAAAAACATCAGATTATTAATAAAATAGCATATAGTTTAAATAAAATTCATAATAAATAATGCTGCACTCGGGATTTGTTTTATATCCCTCACTATTTAATTCCTGAAGCATTAGTGATTTAGGATTGAGTGGGCGTTTACAAACAATTAGATGGTATCTATAGGAATTTTTATGTAAAAAAATTATGCAACAGAATCAGATGTATATCGTTTAGGTATTGGAATTTAGAAGTGAATACTGGTGAAACTTCCTTTAGCAATCATAAGTTTATTCTAATTCTGATTTACATTAATGGACGAATTTACAAGTATATTCCATATTAATGCTAATTTTGATAATAAATGACCAAATGACCAGGTCATTTAAAAATTATTCAGAAGTCATTTGAAAAGTCATTTGAATAAACCAATAAAAAGTCGAATTAGAAATTACTTAAATAGGAATGAAATTTTAATTTTAATAGAAACGATGATCAACAGAGGATTTTCGCATTTTTTACATTTTTTTCGAGTTTGCTCGCGATTTTCAAAGTCTAGAACAATTGCCTACTAAGATATTTCTAATATGAAAAAAAAAGCCATATTCTTAGCTATAAAATGACGTGTATTTGATCCCAATAGCATTGATATTCGCGGAGTTATTCAAGTTTAGATTCGAAAAATTTCTGCCATAAATTTTCTGTAATTTTTCATAATTCTAGCCAGAATTACGGAAAAATTCTGGCAGAATTTTTCACAAACGTTCGAATTTAAACAAAAATAACTCCGCTAATATTGATGCTACCTGGATGAGACACATATCGTTTTGTAGCCAACATCAATGCTTTTTTTCTATCTTAAAAATAAAGGTCTTGCACTTGGTTACAAAATTATATGTTTCTAATTCCTATAGTATCGATATTTGCGGAGTTAATATTGATGCTATCGGGATAAAATACATATTTTTTTGTAGCAAATAATAAGGCTTTTCTTCTAAGATTCGCAAATCGCGAGCGAAGAGAGAGAGAAAGAGAGAGAGAGTCGAAAAAAATTTAAAAAAATGCGAAAATCCTTGATGTTAAATATTGGTGACATATGATTGGTTGGGTTAAATGACCTGGTCATTTGAAATTTGACCTAAATGACCAAATGACCAAATCAACCAGTCATTTGAAGGCCATTAAGTCATTTGCCATCACTGCGTACAGATTACTATCCCTTAAACGATAAGCAATTCTGGGCAAATTACCCGAATTTTTCCTTCATCATCTTATAAAACTTTACGTAAATTTAAGTTTGTGAATGAAATTTCTATCAGTAATAAATAGCATGTGTTCGATTAAATACGATCGATCAATCAAATAAGATCGAATTAACGTAATTAAATAATACGATGAAAACACTGAAATTTTTACATAATACACGTAATACATTATACCTATAATAAAGAATTCTCTGTGAAAGTTTTGATTTCGATCATAATAATTTTTCAGCAAGTCATAAATCAATTCTTCTAAATTTTCAACGAATAGATTGAAAAGGACTTTTTGCACACTTGATATTCCAACATAGGTCGTGAGAGACTAAACAATTATTTGAATATTTTTCAATTTTAATAAAAAAAAATAATAATAATATTTTACTGAATCCATAGATCCAGATATGCCACAAATGTTTTTCTTAATTTTACATAACGCAGGTGATGAGAATTATCTGCTCAAGTATAAATATGGATATAAGATATATAGTAGATACGATATTAATATAAATTTTAGGATAAATACATTTACAGTATAATATAATATACCAGGATATCAGCTAAGAACCCATATCTTCATCTGCAAGTTGTAAGTTCTTTCCTCTAATCTTTGTATTAATCTTTAACCAATATTAGCGAATAATGGTTTATTGTATCGAAAATCATTTTATCTGAAGTGAAAATAATTAATATAATAATTAATATAATAATTAATTGTTAATATTAATTGTTGTTGTAATTGTTAGAATATCAGAAATATATCAAGAAAATATGAATCTAACTATTCCTAATTCAATCTCTGCATCTTTCTTTATTTCTGTATATAATGGTTTCGAATGATTCGTAGTAATAATGACGATTAATTGAGGTGCTAAATTTTTATTAAACTCTGCCTTCTTAAATGCAATTCCACCGTCTTATAATAATATTATTATTGAATTATCATAAGAAATAATAAATTTTTATATTTTCATAAGTAATTAAATAAATAAATAATTCTGATTGAATGTTTGTTTCCAACCAGAATCGTTACAATGCCCTGTGTTTATTATAATATATTTATATTTCGTATTGGATGATCTTATATATTTTTGTGTATTTACCAAACTGAGTTCATTTAATGTGTCAATTAATTCTTTAATAAAATTATGAATACGAGAATATGTTCGTTCACGTCAAATGAATTGCCAACCAGTTTTTGAACTGTTTTGGCTATTTTAAATATACGATTCACGTTAATTAAAATGAATGATATAAATATTCATAATATTTTATAATTTTATAAAAACTTACCACTTGAACTACTTGCTTCATTATTTGAAGAAAAATCTTTAATTCGAATTATCCGTCAGTGAAGATTTTTCAAGCTACTAAAAAGAGTAAATTACGTTATCGAAGTTCCATCTTCCACCTTTTGCCTTCACCTCAGTTAATTTACCTTCATTTTTCACAAAGGAGTTTTGTAGGATTCAGCAAACGAACTTGTAAAAAAAAAAAAAAAAAAGAATTATTTATTATTAAGAAAATAAATAAATAAATTAAAAAAAAAATGAATAAAATAAATAAAAATAATAAAAATAAATAAATAATAAATAAAACCAAATAAATAAAATAAAAATAAATCAAAAAATAAATAAAAATAAATTAAAAAATAAATGAATAAAAATAAAAATAAAAAAAAATAATAAATTAAAAAAAAATAAAAAATAAATGACCATTAATTGACATCATATCAGTATCAATTTCCGTTCTAAATTCTCTAAAACATTCAGCATTATCGCGTTCTATGGCCTTCAACCTTTGTCCTGTGCGTGTGCAGTGATTTCGTAATAAACAAGTATAGACACAAGTAAGATATAAGTAAAGATATAAATTAAAGATATAAGTAAAAATACAATTAAGAAACAAGTAAAGACACAAGCAAAAGTAGATACACAGTAAGATTAACTAATGATGGAAAAATTCTCATTGGATAAAGCTTCGCAAACTTCAATTTGCATTAGAAGTTTTCTTTAACTATCAATCAAGATAATTTGACATATTTCAATTTTCATTTTTATTCTTGATAAAAAATTTCTTACAGTTCATTAAAGAACCATCATCAGTGACGGAATTCTGAAATCCTGTTATGATATCAGCGATGCCATAAATTTTATATCTGGTTTTGGGTTTTCTTCGATGTACAACTCGTATGCTTAAACTAATAAGTGCCTATTATTTTATATATTTTATTTCATTATTTTATTAATTTTTTATTATTATTTATTCATTAAGATTATTGTTATACTGACCGCATTAATTCTAAGATAATTGCATTTTAGACCAATAGTTTTTCCACTGAATCCAACATCTTTTCTTTCGGCTATTCTAAGTTCTTAAATACAAGTTCATGGTTTATCAATTAACTTGATGATGATGATGATGGTGATGATGATGATGATGATTCTTCCAAAGAAATAAATGATTAATTATCATTTTTATTATCATTGTCATTATTAAAAAGTGAATTTTCACTGCCACACGGGATTTTTTTTTATTTCACAATCAAAATTAGTAAAAATATAAAAAAAAAATTATTAGATTATTAATGTATCAGTATTTACATTTTTTTGATAATAAAGAATATAATTCGGTGTAAATATTAATTATAACTAGTGTGATGGAGGAATTCCGTGCCCATATGATTCATCTTATTTAATTGAGATTTGGGATATTAAAGTGCATAATGTGCAAAATTTCTGAATTGAAGCGAATTTGGGGCAAAACATAAATGTGATCGGATATTCAAAATTTTCTATGGGTCAAGATCATAAACAAATTTTTAACTGATCACTATATTTCTTATAATTTAATGAGTTTATGAAACTTTACAACAGTTTATTATTAATTTTTTAGACAATGACAATAATAATTTTATTATTTATATTATATTGTCAAATTTTGATTAATTACAACACTCATTAGAGTTTTAGCTGATGTGTTTAAAAATTTAAAATGCTGGAAAATATTTTATAGCTTGAATGGTATGTATTTCAATATTTTAGATGCTTAAAATATTTATCTTTTTTTAAAAAAATCATTATTAATTTATTTTGATATACTAAAAAAAATATGATTAAGGAATCTAATAAAAAAAATTTTATAATGAATTAGTATTACAATAAAATATTAAAATATGGCTCAATTGGTAGATTACCTTTAATTAAAATTTATATATTACAATTTTTCACGTCTGTAAAATATGCATGTTTTATTTTTTGCTATATTGATAACAAAAATGTACAATAAAAATAATGTTCAAAATATGTATTCACTTTTTATTATTATTTTCTACATTCAAAAAAAAAAAAATTGTACGTTTTATTTCGCTAAATAAGTTATCACAAGTTTCTATTTTTTAGAACTGTCCAAAATATTTTTGTTGATTTGTTCTTTTAAATTATTAGCATCTGATGATAATTTAACTAATAATAGTTTAGATACTTAAAAGTTAGTCCAGAAAAATTAGATAGTAGAAGATAGTTTGTGTTAGTTTAGAGGGAATAAGCATTCTGTAATCTTTTTGAGAATAGTATGAATTGAGCACAGCATTCAATTCTTTCTGAACAGAGTAAAAAAAATCCTTTTGCTCAATTTACGATTATGAAGATGATTATTAAAAATTTTATATAATTTTTTTTGTGTAATGTAATTCTTCACCTTTGGTTGAGAAAAAAACATTGCAACTCCTATAACTTCTCGAATGTGACAAATGAAATGAAGTCTCCTAAACCAAAGGGAAACTATCCAAAAAAATATAATTAAATTGATATCCATTATAGGGGATCTTGGATATGATAATTTGATAAATTATCGTCAAATTTTTAAAATCCGAGTGGAAATACAAATTAATATGAAAGATTTTCTAGGTTGCTACTGCACTTTTTTTAAAAAAGAAGCACAGAAAAGGAATAATACGCAATTTTTTTTTGGATTTATATTTAAAAACTAAACATTTGGTGGCTGTTGATTATGTGCCATTTAATAATTATGAATAAAATATAAAAACTAATATTAAGCATTCGCGTATATATTTTTTTTCTGGTACCCACCGCGTGAATAGTGTCGAGATTAGTTTTGTACATTTTTTAAAAAAATAAAAAATCGAATATAAATGAATGTCAAGAGAAAGTACATGAGGATTAGATCTTGAAATTACAGTTAATCTTTGACATTCCAGAAGGACATTTTGATAAAAAAAAAAAGAAAAAATAAATGATATTGATTGTTGTATAATTTTAATTTTTTAAATTATTTAAAATTATTTTATTTTTTTATATTATTAATTAAATTCATTTTTTAATCAATTATTAAAAATTGAAAAAAAATGTATCAATGTTTTAAAAATTGAAAATAAAAAAATCTTGCGACATTTATATTATTTTGTTTCATTCAGAACCTTGGAATTGGAATACACACGTGAAAATGAAGGAGCAATTATTAATATACAAAGTTTATTTGTTATGGTTGTACTTCGTCAAAAAATTAGGTAGATCGAAAAAATAAAGAAATAAGAAAATTATTTTTTTTACTATTCTTATTTATTTTATATTTATAAACTGTAAGAAAAATATTCAAAATTATATATGTAAATTCCAGCTATTCTCTGGATGGGCGGTGGGGTTATTCTTCTGAATGCTATCGAACATGAATTCAATTAATATTTACGATTACCTTTTTTTCACCGAAAAGGGAATAATTTTGGGCTAGAATTCTATACTACGATAATATATTGATAGTATTTTGATAATAAATGATAAATATTATTTTTTAAATTCGACTATAAATAATAGATAAATATATAAAAAATGAATGATGATGCTTAATATTTTACTTTATTTGGTAAATTTTTTACAAAAGGAAAATGTTTATGTAGCATTGTTATTTGTATTTCACAACAATTATTTCATTTGCTTGTTCAGTTAACAAGCTTTATTTAAATAAAACGCCCGCCTATAAATAAATTATTGCCAACTTTAATTTTTCATACTGCGATTTTAAAAAGATGTCTTTAAAATTTTTTGATAAATTATCTCAAGACTTTATTGAACTCCTTAATGATAAAGATGATTATAATGTAATTATCATAGTTGAAAATGAAGAATCCTTTACGGCTCATTCAAATATATTAAAGTGTCGATCACCTTCTTTTCGTAAAGAATTAAAAAATATTATCCCAAATGAAAATAATATCAAGACAATCATTAGGCCAACCATTTCTGGTGAAATTTTGGATGCTATTCTCAAGTAAGTTATTTACTATTCTTTAATAATATTTGCTAAATGCTATAAGTACATAAATTAATAATTTTTTATTTCACAAGATATGTTTATGGTGGAATTGTTAACTTAGAGAATGTCGAGACAAAGTTTATTTTTGATTTAATGATTGCAGCTAATGAATTTAAAATTATAGAATTATCTAAAAAACTAGAAAATCTTCTTATTGAAGCTAAAAGTTCGTGGTTAAAGTCTCATTTTTCTCTAGTTTATCGTACAATTTTTAGTGAAAAAAATTTCAAAGATTTAGAAAAATTTTGTAATGATATTATTGTAAAGTATCCAAATCTTATTTTTGATGCTGAGGATTTCTCTTCTCTTCAAGAATCTGCATTAATTTCACTCCTTAAACGAGATGATTTGCAATTAGAAGAGATTAAAGTTTGGGAATATATTATTAAGTGGGGAATTGCTCAGAATTCCACTTTACCTTCAGAACTCGAAGAGTGGACTAAAGAAAATTTTACGACTTTAAAAACTACTCTACAACAATTTTTAC